ACACACTATCGATGCTCAAGGTATCCGACCACTTAGAACCAAAGTGGCGGCCATTCTGGATTACCTAGAACCGACCACCGTCAAGCAATTACGCACGTTTAACGGCCTCGTAAGTTTCTATAGACGTTTCATACCGAAATGCGCATTACTCATGAAACCGCTGACCGACCAACTTCATGGAAATGCGAAATCCATTAATTTGGACGACACCACACGAAAATCATTCTCCACAGTTAAGGAACTGATTGCTAAAGCGACAATGCTCGCACATCAGGACACCGAAGCACCCATTAGTATCGCAGTAGACGCATCCGACTCGGCAATCTGAGGAGTCTTACAACAATGGGTTAACAACTCCTGGCAACCCTTGGCATTTTTCTCTAGAAGGTTGCTAGACACCGGATCGAAGTACAGCACATTCGGTAGGGAACTCTTAGCTATGCATTGTGCTGTAAGACATTTTCAACACTACATCGAAGGCCGTGAATTCACTCTTTTCACGGACCATAAACCGCTCACTTTCTCGTTAAGCTCTCCTTCAGACAAGTACTCTCCCCGTGAGTTTCGACAACTGGACTACATTTCGCAGTTTACTTCAGAAATTCAGAACATTTCTGGAGCACACAATGTAGTCGCAGACGCCTTGTCTCGAATAACTTTCTTGAACAGTTTCCAAGGCATCGACCTTCTTAAATTCGCCCAGCTTCAAAAAGCAGACACTGATCTTCAGCACGAGTTATCGTTTGCAACCCTTAAACTACGCATCAAACAGATGGGAACGAGTAAGGGAACCTTACTGTGTGACACATCTACAGATTAGGATCGCCCAATCATGCCGAAACATTATCGAGACAGCGTCCTCAATACGTTGCACAAGCCTTCTCATCCAGGTGTTCGTGCAACCATGAAGCTTATAGCAGAACGATTTTGCTGGCCTGGTATGAATAAAGACGCGAGGGAGTGGGCACACTCCTGTGTAAGCAGCCGAAAATCTAAGGTTATCAGATAAAATAAATGTCCCTTAGGCTCATTTAAAACTCCCAACGCTCGTTTCGACCATGTTCATCTGGATTTGCTAGGACCCTTACCAGATTCAAATGGTCACTCTTATCTCTTAACCTGCGTAGTCCATTTGACTCGATGGTCAGAAGCAGTACCCATCAAAGACACCACTGCCGAAACAGTGGCTCGCGCCTTCGTCGAACAGTGGGTAGAAAACTTCGGCTGCCCTTCAACCATCACTACAGACCGCGGAAGTCAGTTCGAATCTGAACTTTCCCATTGTCTGACCAAACTTTTAGGAATCACTCGTTTCCGAACGACCGCCTGCCGCCCACATCCAAACGGGTTAGTAGAACGTTTCTACCGATAACTAAGAGCTTCATCATCAGCTGCAAACGATTCACAATGGACTGACACTCTTCCTCTCGTTTTACTAGGTATCCGCAACGCAGTGAAAGCTGACATTGGATACATTGCGGCTCAAATCGTCTATGGAACGACACTTCGACTTCCGGGATAATTCGTGGATCATTCAACCTCTTCAATGAACATGGATCTAACCTCCTGCACGAACAGGCTTACAAACGCAATTCGTTCAGTTAAACCTGTTTCCACTCGACCTCAATCAACTGATGTTTTCGTTCAAACTGACTTACGATATAGTACACAAATCTTCGTACGTCGAGACTCGCGTCGACGACCATTCGAATTAGCATACGAAGGACTATATAATCGATAAGAACGGAACAAACGGTAGCAACAGTATCAATCGCCTCAAAGCAGCGTATTTAGAAAGAAATCCTACCTACGTCGATTTTCCTTCGGTACAATCGAACGACACGACTCTGAAACTTATAATACCTCATCCGACAAGCAACACGCACGATGATACCTCGATAGTATCTGAAAACAAACTTAAAACGACGCGTTCTGGAAGAAGAGTAAGATTTCCAGAACATTTAAACGACTATTGCACGTAAGACATCAGTCAACATTTTGTTTCATCTCGATTTTCCGTGACATTATATATAATATTTAAAAAAATCAATTTTATATGCTTATATTTATATATATTTATTATGTTGTAAAAGTCGCTTTTGCGCCATTTTCCTTTTCTCGCCCACTTTGTATCATAAAGCGCGTACGAGTGTGACTTAGCATGCACTTACATATTTCTTTTTTCTTTTCCAGGACGGCTAGAAAAGACAGAAAAACAACGACAAAGTTTACGACAAACCGGAATTTTTATTTCATCTATTTCTTTATTATTATATTGTACTGCATGATTGTTACGTCCAAGTTTTGCTCGTCCCAGTTATTGAAGTACGGACCATCGATCTACTTGCAAATTACGAACCCAAATTAACAACAGAACCAAGTTCCAATTTAGATACCAAATTTATTCGTAATTGACAAATAATCGACCAAATGTCGTTCTAACAACAATAATTATAACAATTACAAAACAAACCTTCAATTTTGTAGGTTCCAGGAGCAAAACTCCCAAATACCAAACCAAAGATAAACCAAAATGTCCGAAATAATGATATAAACAAACAAGTTCAAAGGTTAAGTAAACAATTACATCCAAAAGCACAGTAAGTTGTTAATGTACAATAAAAGGTTTTAATCCGCCAAATGTCTTCAGTTCTCCCGTAACACTCCCGACCAAAAGAACCTTGGTTCTTTTCAGGCAAATAAATAGACAACAGGAATCCAAGTATATGCATCACAAACAATCAACAACAAACACTCAATATACCAACAATCTCGTGATCCCTACGACTTACACCAGTACGCCTAGGGATCCGAGTAGCTACCTAATATCTACAACTTCTAGACGCAGTTTTCTAATATCTCTTACCAAGATCCCTTCGCTTGTCCGCAACTCCATCGGTCTTAACCTATCATTATTAGGTATCACTTTCCTTACCAGACCTAATAATCATTTGTCTTTCTCTAAAAACCCAGTACATGTCGTCACCAAGCTACTCTCTCCTGTGTTCATTTCTGGTTGAGTCCATTTGTGTCTAAGTTGCAACAATGAAACATATTCCTTAGACAAACGTTTCCAAAATATTTTGCGCCAACATAAACAACCGCAATATCAACCATCAAAAACAAAATGCTTCATCCTCCATAAAAGCTTATATACGCTATCGTAAACATGGATATATAAACCCATATAGAGGACCAATCCATTAATTTCTTTATTTACCGCGAACTCTTTATTCTGATTCCAAATCATAACATTGTTAGACTCTTCTATTTCTTTTAGAAGATGAATAACCCTAACACATGGCTTCAGGCACCATTGCATATTCACACACAAACAACTATTTGAGTCCGCAGAACAAGAAGCCCTTCTCCCAATAATCATTAGCCACAATTTAAATCGTACGAACCACTGCTTAGTTGTGTTTTTACGCAAGTCCAATACAAACATCAAATCTCCTGTAAGTACAAATGAACTGTTAGTCACTTTTCCGTGAGATTCACCACGAGACCCACCAACAATATATTGCTTAATGTTAACCGAATTCTCCGAACACATTTCATTATCAAAGGCTAATCCTATTTCACCCAATCTGGATAGTAAAGGTGCACCAGTCAAACTGTTTACAACATTTGATCCTTTCCAAAGCTGGTCATTAAGAGAACAACCTTGATAGACAGCCGCACAATCAAAAACAATTCCCAATTTTCCAGGCCTTTTAGGGTTGATAACAGGATGATGAGGAATATACCAACAAACAGAATCATGGTCAAATTCCTCTTCACTAGCTTCAATGATGTAGCCCTTTCTTAAATGTTTATTCATCACAACTTGATATTTCTCCAAAAGACTGTTATCTTTCATAAACCTCCTCCATAAGCATTCCAGTCTGCGTCCAGCTAGTTCCAAATTATTCGGTAGTCTTGGCTTATCATACTTCCATGGTAGACCAACTTGGAAATGACCACCCTCCAATCTAAACGAACTGCTAGCTATTTCTAGAGCTTTTTTATCTTCGACAGGATATCCATTACAAAACTTATTTGTATCCTCGAACTCATGATCATATAATCTTCCTAAATCTCGCAAAATATCATTAGTGGAACAATGACACAACTGAACTTGATGTAGAGACCTTGATACTCTCTTAGGACCTATAATCATCCAACCAAGATGAGTACGCACAGCAAACGGATGCTTCCTGTCCCCCAGACGTTGTTCCAGGACCCAATGTGCATCCAGAGCATCACACCCAATCAATATTCCTACAAAATTACTTTGCAACCTCGGAAGGGCTATGTCCTTTAGATGTTTCCACCGTTTCAGTTGGAGTTCGGCTAAAGGTGCTGCATGATCGATCGGAAGTTTCTTGGTCGTGTAAACTTTGTTGATCTTTATAGAACCCCGTTCATCTAATGAAAATACCTCTAAATTTACCTCCAAACATTCACAATTGGTAGTTCCGTTCACAGTCGCCATCTTTATCGAAGTCTCTTTACCTTTAATACGCAGCTGATTAATTAATTCTTCACATACAAGAGAAGTGTCCGAACCACTATCTAGAAGTGCATATGTTTCCAAACATCTTTTGGGACCGTATAGTCTGACAGGAACGATACCCAAACAAACCTTTGAGGAGTTCCAATCCTTAGCTAGGTTCACCACATGGTTATCAATACCATCAATATGCAATAATGAATTATGCCTAACCTTGCAATTCTCAACGTCGCACTTGAAGCCTGACTTGCATGACATAGCTAAGTGACCTTTCCTCAAACATAAATAACATAGACCACGTTTTCTTACCTCTTGCCTCCTTTCTCTTACATTCATTTTTGCTAACCTTGGACAATCTGTCGCCTCATGATCACCTACACAGATTTCACAACGTGATACCGTGACTGAGTTATTTGGGTCTCGTTTAATTACATGAAAGCGTGATCTCCTATCAGCTTGGCCTTCAGAATTACTTTTACCGAACCTTGAGTTACACTGTACTAATCTACCATAACGGGTTCGGGCAGTTCTGGCCCTCTTCTACAAAGACCACATATTCTTCAAAGCTCGGCTCCTCCCCATGCATCATGATCTTATCGGCGACTTCCACCCACTTATTCTGCAATTCTAATGGTAAGCATGAAACTATTACCTCGAAATTAGCCGTAAAATTAACGTCAGACATGTATCCCATTTCCTTCAACGTTATACATACATTATGCAACTTAATCGCAAAGTCAGTTAATACGTCAGCCGATCCTCCGACAAATTTATGGTTTAATAACTCAGTAATTAGTTCTCGTGCAACAAGATGTTCTTTACTAAATAAATCATACAAAATCCGTTTAGCCTTATCATAGCCCAAATGACTGGGCAAAGAAACGCAAGATTCAATTGCTGTTCTAGCCTTTCCCTTGCAATAATACAACAAATACGATAACAATTGGCTCTTATCTGACAGTTTACTCTCTATAAGGCTATTAAACTGACTAACAAAACGGTAATACTGACCCGGTTGCCCATCAAAATACATCATATCGATCTTAGGTAAAACCATGTTACTAACCATTGTATGTAACGTGTCCTTCAGTTCCCCAACCCAATCGACCTTTGAGATGTTACATACCTCCCCTGAGTGATTATTACACCCAGTACCATAATCCAAATAATTTTCCACTTTAGCATTTATCCCACATTTATCCACGGGTAATCGTTCATCGTCCTCGATGGCCTTGTATTCTAATTCAGCGATATCAACCTTTTCTTGGAGATCTAACATCTTAAGTTGCCGTTCTAATTCAAGTTTCTTTTCTAAATTCCTTTTCCTCAGTAATGCTTTATCTAACTTCAATCTAAAGGTACTAAACTGACTAGAGGACATACTAATAATACTAACATCATCACATTTATCATCATTAACATCAGACATACCACAAACAGCTTTAGAAATTTTACCATCCATTTCGTCATTTTCCTTCAGCCTTTTGCTCTGTGCTTCCATCGTATTTGTTGTTCCAAATAATCAATTACCAAAACAAATCTGAATTAATCCAAACGAAATCGACCAATGAGACCAGGAATTTGGACCCAAAATATCCAGGCAAATCCAAGGTATGAAGACAGAACCAATGATTGAAGAACTTTATGTTACGTCCAAGTTTTGCTCGTCCCAGTTATTGAAGTACGGACCATCGATCTACTTGCAAATTACGAACCCAAATTAACAACAGAACCAAGTTCCAATTTAGATACCAAATTTATTCGTAATTGACAAATAATCGACCAAATGTCGTTCTAACAACAATAATTATAACAATTACAAAACAAACCTTCAATTTTGTAGGTTCCAGGAGCAAAACTCCCAAATACCAAACCAAAGATAAACCAAAATGTCCGAAATAATGATATAAACAAACAAGTTCAAAGGTTAAGTAAACAATTACATCCAAAAGCACAGTAAGTTGTTAATGTACAATAAAAGGTTTTAATCCGCCAAATGTCTTCAGTTCTCCCGTAACACTCTACGAGGAGCGACGATGTGCCTGAAAAGTTCATTAATGACTATCACTCGTTCCATGCTCTTAACTAACATCTGGTCAGTCAACTTATCCGTTTATGCTTTGAGGTATCTGAAGACATTTGTGCACATGTTATGGGTTCAATCGGTGGTAATAATGAAGCTACATCGTCAGTAACCATTGTTCTCACTGGCCATAGCTATTCTTTTTGATAACAAGACGTTTAATATTGCAATTTTTCAGTTCTACATAAATTCAGTTATGTGGCCATTTACTTGTTCTTATAGCGTTGAGATAGGGAGAGTGTATTGTACAGTATTGTGGTACCGTGTGGCTGTGAAACATAGGGGTGCTGGCTCGCGTTTTTCTGTATTGATAACCAGGTTGGTGGACACGCAATTAGTCATCTAGACCGTTAATCAAATACCACAACCTCGAACTTGATGTATTCAACTACTATGTGAAATGCGGCACTGTCATACATTACACGTATTTCTGATTAATTAATAAAAAGAACCAAGAGTGTACCGGAGAAATAAATAAACAGTTAGCAGATCACTAAAATGGACGTAGATGTGAAACTGGACAAATGTATTTTAATGTACACCATTCTTGTTTCCATGACTGTTCTATACTTTGTAACTCTTTGCATTATAGAGAAGGCGGTAATCAGCCTCATTTAATTCTTTTCAAGCATCAATGCAAATGCACTTGGTTATTTTACTTAAAAATCATACATTTCAATGAGTTCACTGAGTCGCTTTATAATAATACTTATTTCTGCTACTAGTTATCTTTGCAAGAGTTTCGGCAACCTAAAAACTGAAAAGCCGTACAAAAAGTGACACTGTCTTTGCTTAGTCTTTGGTAAAAGTATAAAGGCACATAAATGTACTTTCCGCATAGATGTATGATTTGTTTGCAGGAATATAATGAATTGGTAACTTTGTGGAGATAGGCACGAAAAACTTATTTTGTAGATAGTTTTTGACATCATCTGCATTTATTTTGTTAATTCTCATAGTTTATTAGTTAGGATTAGGTCTATTATTAGAGCAGTTGAACTTACCTAAGAAAAAAAGGATACATATATAGTGCTTTCATACTGAAGACAACAGGCAGTTGTTCATAGAAACATAGTTTACAGTACAAAAAAACTTTCTTCAGTAAAATCATGCACTGACAGTCTATCTGGAAACAATCAACTATGTGAATAAACTCACTATGACTTGAGTTATCATCCCATTGTGCAATGGACGTACAGTGTAACACAGCCGGACGTGGCGAATAAAAACTAAAAACAGAGCAAAATTAACTACATAATCTAGTTGTTTAATTAAAAATACATTATGAAATGACAAAATCTGTGGTTACTTGAACGCACAAACGACAGTGTGCGATACATTAAGTTTACATGGTTGCGTTGCGGATAAGATCACCCGTATAAATATCATAGTAGACCACAATTATACACATTTGACACAAACGAGTGCAAAAGTTGTTTAAAATTGCATGACCTTGAACTGTCTTCTTGAATTCCTCAAAGCATAACACACGCTGTTGACCGCTCGTAAATACACTGCTACGCACACGTCTCTCATTCTCAATTGCCTGTTGTTATGATAACTGACCTCTAAAATATCTATTATCTACATTTATAAACTACAGCCATATTTCCATTATATACTACATCTGTGCTGTATCACTGGGAGTACAACTACCTTATTGGAATCAATAATTACATATAATTGTGCATTATGGTACCAAATGCAGCTCAAATACGCCAACAACAGCGGAACAGATGTGTAGAACACTTCGAGGAACTGCAGTAGACGCCCAACTTCGAGATCAACAAGCTGGATTCCGGAAGGATCGGTCGTGCACAGACCAAATTGCAACACTACGGATCATCGTCGAACAATCAGTTGAGTGGAACTCGTCACTGTACATCAATTTCATTGATTAAGAAAAGGCATTTGACAGTGTGGATAGGAGAACGTTATGGAAACCTCTTCGACACTACGGAGTCCCTGAGAAGATTGTCAACATTATCCGGATTTCATATGACATATTGCAGTGCAAAGTCGTGCATGGAAGACAGCTGACAGATGCATTCCAAATAAGGACAGGAGTCAAACAAGGCTGTCTACTCTCCCCCTTTCTCTTTCTTTTGGTGGTCGACTGGATTATGAAGACCTCAACATCTGAGGGAAAACACGAAATACAATTGACAGCTCAGAATCAATTAGACAATTTGGACTTCGCAGATGATCGGGCCCTCCTACCGCATACACATGAACAAATGCAGATAAAGACAGACAATGTAGCAGCAGTCTCTGCATCAGTAAGCCTCAGCATACCAAGGTCCTCAAATACAACGCGGAAAACAGCAATCCAACCACCCTTGATGGCGAAAATCTGGAAGATGTATAGTCCTTCACATACCTAGGAAGCATCATCGATGAACAAGGAGGTTCAGATGCAGACGTAAAGGCGAGGATCGGCAAAGCAAGGGTCGCATTCCTACAATTGAAGAACATATGGAACTCAAAACAACTTTCAACCAATATCAAAGTGAGAATCTTCAATACGAATGTCAAGGCAGTTCTACTGTACGGAGCTGAAACTTGGAGAACTACAACAACCATCATCAAGAAGGTGCAAGTATTTATAAATAGTTGTCCATGCAAAATACTCAACATCCATTGGCCGGATACCATCAGCAACAGCGTTTTGTAGGAGAGAACAAACCAGCTTCCAACTGAAGAGGAAATAAAGAAAAGACGATGGAAATGGATAGGACATACATCGTGTAAATCATCAAACTGCATCACAAGGCAAGCCTAACATGGAATCCTGAAGGGAAATGGAAAATAGGAAGGCCAAAGAACACAATATGTCGGGAAATAGAAACATATATGAAAAGGATGAATAGGGACTGTAGAGAGCTTTTAATTCCTTCCAGGACAGGGTTGGATGGAGAGTCCCCGTGGACGGCCTATGTTTCTCCACAATGAGTAACAGGTGTAAGTAAGTAAGTATAATTATGCATTGTGGTAGCAAGTGCAGCTCAAACACGCCAAAGCCTGCCAATCTGAGTACTGTACCGTAACTTTTACTTATGTTTATGAATTATAATTGATATATTATAACGTTAACATCTGGACATTATAACTTTATTGTCGTTTTTGAGTTAGTATAATATTTGGTCCACTACAATTATCTAGTGAACACATTGTTTATACTATTTGCCATATTATCTACTTTACCTGACTTGTTAGTTGATGTTTCATATAATGTGTAGTGGCATTGGACAATAGCCACACAATCCACAGAGCTGTGAACACGAGACTACTCGGAAAATAGATATTCAATATTTAACGCGGAGAAATACCTAACAATGGAGAAGGCGCGAACAATGAATTGAATGGACTGAGTTGATCGGATGGCATGGCTCGGCCATGCAGGCGTGGTCCCTCTGAATGTTACCTTATATCTTCTACTCATATTAAATATATTGTTCCTTCTCTGGCCTAACCTTGTTCTACATCATGTATTGATAATTGATACAATACAGTGAGTTGGTGTAGTCGATGGTGTGACTTCCACGTAAGATCTTATAGATTAGGCAGTTATATCATGACAAATCTAAAATTTTAGGATTAGGTTTATTATTAGAGCAGTACTAATATCAAAGTAGACCATAATTGTACAAATGCACTCTCTTAATAACATTCGCGACATTGAAGGTACATGTAGCACAGTGTTAAGTTTGTCTTACATTGTTTCTACTTGTTCACGTTCTACTCTTCTGTATATTGTCTTATAGTACTTATTTGCATTCAGTAAACAGTTGTATTGCCAACAATGTTCACCCTTATGTTGTAACGCAAGCTGTACTGAATTTTTCTGAAATGTTCACAAATACTTATAACGTTTATTGTACTTATCATTGTATTTATAATTATAATTACTGTATCTTAATCGCTGTAGCTGTTATCCACAGTTTTGTGCATTTGTTTAAACGCAACAGTTTCTATATTGTTTGCTCTTGGTTCGGGTTTCGGTTATTCGTAAACTGTTATCAAATTTAGGCATAGTTATCAGCTCTCCTTTGTACTATCGCATATTATAATTATTCTTTATGTTACTCTTACAGGAAGCCTTTGTTATTTCCATTCTTGATGGACGCGTTTAGACGCCTAGACACCTCACAAGTTGAGGTTTGTAACTAAATTTTGTGTATTGTTTAATAAAGAACCGCTTTTGTAGACAAATCGTTGTTTTGGAACTACGATTTTGCGCGTATCTCAATCAGGTCACTTGGACGCTTCGATTGACTTAACACACAGTCATGTTCCGACAACAGCTAACGGAACAGGCAAATCAGCCAGCATAATTACAAGCGAAGATAGCCACAGTACAAACCAGGCGACTTAGATGACCGTCCGGGTAAAGATCATTTTCGAGGCAGCGTTCTCGA